GCGGACACGCGAGTCGACTTCAAGCGAGTCAGTTAATCTGTTAACTGCCTTAATTGGGGCCGGCGAACCCTCTCTAAGACGATTTGTGTATACCTAACAACGTTCAACAGTACCTGCCAAGCCCTCTTCTACTTCTTCCCTTTCCCATTTCCCATTTCCCTTTCCCTTCTTTTATTCTTCTTCGTTTTCCTACCACGTTTCTTCAAGACATAATTTGTCTCCATCCACACCTGTCGTTTTTATTGCACGTGCAGGCAGGCAGGCAGGCAGGCAGGCAGGCAAGCAGACACCAACCAAACCTCGTGTTGATTTATTTTTCGAGATATATACTTACGACAAGATCGACAAGGTGTTACCATTTGGTCAATTTTCTATACCACACTTTTATTACTAATATTTCGAGAGGACAATTTCTTCAGCATATTTTTGATTTATGTTTTTTCATTTTTTTTTTTTGCGTAAAAGAAAAAATGTGTCCAAAGTACACGCATCATTTATAATCGTACACGTCACTAAAGGTAAAAAATTATATTACAAACTATACTCAATATTTATTTATCGTATTGCGTTAACTTTTTATTCGACAAAAGATATTTTCTTTTACGTTCGACCATCGGTTTGCCCTAGTATCCCATTATCATCAATTTTTCTCTTCTTCCTTTTAGTTGTTAAAGGTTTATCTATCCGCTTCGATGGTGAAACTATTCATTGTCTTTTATTTTTTTTTTTTCAACGTGAAATCTCTGCTAACTGATGTTCGTTTAAAATAATAATAATAATAAAAAAAGAAAAACAATGGGAAATATATAAAAACAACAAGAACAACAACAACAAAATATTGAAGAAGTTCTTTTATCATGTAAAATCATTTGGAATTTGGGTCACGTATGCAGAATGTATTTTTTACGTCTCTTTTTACTATTTTTCTATTTCTTTGTTTTTCTCATTCGTATTTTATTTCTCTTTATATTTAACAAGAAAAAAAAACGGGAATAAATCAAATCCATCAAAGAGATTTTCTAACTCCCTTGCTCTTTAATTTTCTAATTCCTCTTTTGCGTTACTTTCATTTTTATTTATTATTATTATATACTACCCCCTATCAACCGATTGTTTTCGTACATTTATTTGTCATCCATATTGTCCGTTATTTCTACTTAATTAATTACGTTTTCCATTGTTAACATTGGAGTGCTATAATGTGTACTTATATTTATGTACTCTTTGTATTTTGCTTCACAATTCGCAGAATTACATTCTGTTATATCTACATGAACATTTCATTTCTATTTCTCTCTTTCTAACTATACCATTTATAACTTGTTAATTATCTGCCGTTTCAATATTTGTTAATAAATATTTCCTCTTTTTACTAATTCATTTTTTATAATCCACGCTTTTTTATATCCCCTCCCCCCCATTGAATTAACAAATAGATTATTTCATTCGTCAAATCAATTCCAATAACACATTGCAAATTAATAGTTAATTTATAAATAATATTCAATATTTTAAATTTTGTTATAAAAAAAAAAAAAATATTAAAAATATCTAACTGAATTTGTTACGATGAAAACTAAAATATAAATTTGGTCTTTTTATATACTTTGAGGTTTTACCTTGTTGATTCTGTTACTTAGATTTCTGTACGTTTGTTGCTCCGGAAAACATACATTCGTTGACCCGAATAGAAAAATCGTCGTACGGCATATAAAATGGTACGGAGGGGTGGTGACGGGGTGGGGTGGGGAAAAAAAAGGATAGAGAGAATATGAGAGTAAAAAGGGTGGTAGGAGAGTGGAAAGGTTGGTATAATAAAACCAATGCTGGAAACAACAGCCGTGGTAAACTGAACACATAAATCTACACGATAGATGAGCCAGACATCGAAGAGAATGTTTTTGGTGACCCGAGCTTAAATGACTGGCCGAAGGGACGAACAACGTTACGAACGATGAAAAAATCGTTTTTCGTGTCGTATGGTCATAAACATACTGAAGAAATTGTATTGACTGCGAAACAACCGACAGTTTCCCCGTGTTTTCATTCGTATCAGTTTGAACATTTTATCTCTCTTACACACACTCTCCTCTTTCTCTCTTCCTATCTCTTTATAAATCAACGAAAAATATAAAGTATCACCATTTGAATAATTTTGAAAATTTTTTCTATCGTTAAATTATACATTTGTAATTTTTTCAAATATTTTCTTTATCATCAAAAACAGAAATGTCTAATCAATCTTTTTGCACTATTTGAATAATTTATTATTTGCTAAGAATATTTGTATTTTTTTTTTTTTTTTTTTTTAATTATCCAACATATATTTATCGATCTATCCATATATCATGTATGGTTGCCTTTCCTTGATTTACATACTTTTTACGAGCTCTTCTTTAATTATCAAAGTTAGATATATCTATTAAACAATTTAGAAACATAGGTAGGAAGTATGTTAGTATCACTATATCTATACTATAAGTACTGTTTTACCGTCACACACACACACACACACATTCGAGTGTACATATGTACATATGTTCAGAAATGATAAGGGAAAAGTAAACAAGAAGCTGTATAAGAAGGTAAACGCTAGAGTTTCGGCTGAAAAGAGAAGAGTACTTGGGTGAATATTCTCTCTCAGCCTTTGCCAATCTATTCGACCCCCCCCCCCACCTCTCTTTTACTATTCTAGTGTACTTTCATAGTTTAGTTCACCAATAATCTGATATCGATTCTATTGAGAAAATGAATATTTTATCGTGAAATTTCATCGATAGAGTTTATAATGAGAATTATGTTCTAAATACATGTGTGTGTATGTGTGTATATATATATATATATATAAATCGTAAAGATAATTAGTCATTAAATTAAAATAACAGATATTAGTTGAACACTCGTTCAATTTCAATTCAAACGACACACGTTTTAACATATTGTTAATTAATAGAAATGATTTGTCGTACGATGACCACTCTCTCTAACAATACCAAAGCTTTGAACAATAATCCCATAATTGCTGTGGAAAGCTAATCACTTTCGAAATATTTTCCATATTCTAAATAATCCACAATAATCAATAATATCATTTTGATTATTTGTGTTTTTTCTTTTCCTTCTTTTTTTCTATTTTCATATTTTTCTTTGTAATCGTTTGTATATTATTAGAAAAATATTTGAAAGATAAATATTGTAGTCCGTTTATGTATATTTCATCGAATATTTTGCTAGATAAAGAAAATATTTTCTCTCTCTCCCTCCCTCCCTCCCTCCTTCCCTCACTCTCTCTCTCTCTCTCTCTCTCTCTCTTGTAAATTGTAAAAATTTTCAGACACTCGAAATTTTTCCAGCTCGTTCTATCCACGTCACTTATATTTCGAGTTTCATGCTTTTCTGAAAATATTTATACTCTTTCGCATACCGCTACTCTAGACCAGTCATATTTTACAAAATACATACATTTCATTCGTTTCCTCATTCTCTCTCTTATATTTTCCATTTTTACAGTGAACTCTATTTTTAATACCAGTCGTTTCTTATACAATACGAAAGAATTCTTCTTTCATCATTCATAAAAACATTATACGCACAAATATCGAAATATTTGTTAAGAAAATAATGCACATTAACAAATTTATATATATATATATTGTCAACAGTATATATGCACATTGCATTTTATATAAACAGATAATTTTTAAATTAGATTATCTCATTAAAAAGTAAAATTTTATCCATGTATCAAATAAATCTTTTCTCCCCTTTTTTTTTTCAACGAAATAAATATTTCTACCAACCAACCATTTTCACCTATGTATAATACATATATGTACGTAACTATATATATATATGTACGATTATATACCTAAGTATATTAATCAAAACTTGAGATTAATTTCAGTACGTCAGAGACAGAGGATAGTTCTTTTTCTTTTTACCGAGGTAAAACGAAACCACGTGTTTACTACCTTATCTAAGTAAATATAACTTTTGTTCGAATGAGAACAGTCGCTTTATTCGACGAATGAGTTAGAAATATATATTAAACACACACACACACACACACATGTATTCGCATACTTACACATATAAATAAAAGTACAAGTTATATACTAGCCTTTCATTTTTCTTCTCTACGACGACAAGTATATGCGGTCAACCATATGTACACACATACACACCACACATGAAAACATCCACATTCCATCCAAACACATAAGTTTTCTCCCCAAACAGAAAAGTTCCGTTAATTAAAGTGCCTGGTGTTGCCTTGCTGGCCATAAAATAAAGATGACAGTTTACTTAGAGTGTGTAAAAAAATAGACAATAAAGAAAAGTAGCCGTAAAGATAATTATTATTTGAAATGTATGAGGAATAAGAAATAGTCAGTAGTTTAGATGTATAATTTCGTTTCGCAAATGACCACTATACAATACAGAGATACATATATTAGATTGCTTAATAGATAACGAAGACATATTCGTGATAGAATGTCGATAACACTTATCGATCTGTTTCCTCCATTTCTATCCACTTATATGTATACATAATACATATATACTATACATAATAGTAAGATCGTTCATCGAGAAGAGACCTAATACATTAGACCGATGATACATGTATATATACATGCATATATGTATACACTATCGACTAAAAGTTTCGGTACAATAGCTGATTATACCTTTTTCTTATATTCCTAATATTCTTGCATAGTTTATGCACACAGATTTAACACAATAATCAGATTAAACTTTCTTACTTGTACATTTTTCGGTAACTTTGACAATAAACATGAACAAATATTTGAAAACATTCTTAAAGGGATATTCTATTTCTCTGATTTCAATGCTTTAGATTGGTAATGTACATAGATAGATGTGTGTTCGTGTAAGGTTAGTTACGTGAATGATAGGCGTATCTGATAACATTCCAGTAATAAGGGAAATATGGAAGCTACGGGGTTAATGATAGATAATTATGTTTATTACAGATAAACTCGAGATGGTCTCTTGGGCCGGGACTCTGCGACATATGGACCAGCAGCGACGTACTTTGCTGTACGGCATCGATATTGCATCTGGTGGCTATCGCGGTCGACAGATATTGGGCTGTCACCGATCTCAATTATATACAGGTTAATTGATACGCTTGTGTGGTTTAGCGAGAGTGTTACGGAAGTTTTCGGAAAAGGAATAGTACAATGACACCGTTAAATTCACTCTCAAAGCTATCTTTCTCTTAAATACATATTCACATATGCATGCATACATTTCTATTAGTTATTCCATATACATAGTTAGACAAATTGTAACACTTATGTATTAGTTTATTAATAATCCATTTTGTTAGATTAGAACAGGTCCAAATATAAAAATTTCACTTTTTTATATCCCAATTCTATTTTTTTTTTATATCGATCGAATAATGTGTTTACATAAAAGCAAGCTCATATGAATGTGCGCATTAATGCATTTGATTAGAAGAGCCAATAATAGAAATAGATGAAGAGAATCGATCCAATTAGGAAAGGTTTCGTTTCACGCCAACATTTCTTCTTTTCTATTCATTATTTTCTCTCTTGTTTTTTTGGTTGATTTTTTTTTTTTTTTTTAGTTAGTTCGTTCGTTCGTTCATTCATTCATTCATTCTGCCTTTTGGGGTTTGTTTTTTTTGTACCCATCCCAACGCCTACGCTTCGTGCCATTCCCTTCAACTAATCGGATGAACCTTGAGAGAGCTTCTAGAAGTGGGTCCATAACACGAACGTAGTAGGAACGAACGATCGAAGGTTTTAAAAGCTTTCCTCCTTAACGCGGCCGTCAGACCGGAATCGGTACAATTAGATAGAGAGCGACATACATCTACAGTGCAATTTAGAACCAGTTTAAATTGGCTAATAAAACAAATAATAAAAATAAAATAAAATAAAATAAAATAGAAAGGATTCTAAAGAAAAGTCAATTAATTGAATTTTATTTTCTCTTATTAATAACCTAATCTGTTTTTTCTTTTTTTTTTTTTCGTTTTTTTATTTGATAAATTAATGTTGTTCGTTTCTGTAAATGATAGTTTGTATGACATAAACTAAGGTAATTAATTTCAACAAAATGAACATTTTTGCTTCAGATAGAAACCAGACAAATGAAAAGTTTCATCGTTCGTTAAGAACTCGAACGCCTAAGTTGCACTTTTCCACCGATTATTCTCGTTATAACTCGGTAAAAGATTAATTTATTACCGTAGCTAGGTAGGTCGGTCGGTACTTTTCGTTGATTCGCGTGATGCATTTTAGTAATTCTGGATAATTTTCCAATTAAAATCTCTACTATTGAACTTATTCCCGAAGAAATGAAAGAAAGAGAGAAGATTAATATTTATCTTCATTTTATGTTAGATATCTTATCAAGGAAAATACATGTTCATGAAAAAATAAAACCAATTTCTCTCAGAAACCCTGACCCAACTCTAATACATTTGAATATAAATCAAAGATAAATCAAATACAAATATGAAAATTAAAAGCATAAATTTAATGTAAAATAAAGAGAGAGAGAGAGAGAGAGAGAGATAAGGAGAGAGAAACAATCCTTACCAAATAGGTTTCTAAAGGTTTGCATTACCTTTATGTTAGAAAACTGGAAAGGTAGAGAGAGAGAGAGAGAGAGACTCTCGTTTTGGATTACCTTATTGTAGTTGTGCACAGAATTCCAAACTTTTCGGTCTACGTGATACGTACAAGGATTCTCTCTCTCTCTCTCTCTCTCTCTCTCTCTTTCTCGCTCTCTTTCACGTTGTTAGGAGCTATTTTATCTATCTATCTTTTTCTTTCTTTCTTTCTTTCTTTCTAAAAGTTTCTTTCTCAAAAGAGTAGTCTACGAAGAAGAAACGAATACGTACGAGAAAAGCCACCACTTTCTACGGGCGAGTTCGTATTATGAGAAAATTACATTCGTAGAAAATTTAGTCTTTTACATGTGTGTGTGTATTTATATATATATATATAAATATATATGTCTGTAAAAAGAAGCGCTTACGTAGTAAATACATACTTTCACAGAAGATAAGAAAGTTTCTTCTTTTTCTTTATCTTTCTCTCTTTTTCAAAGCAATTGATGATTTAGCACCTTCGATCGATCGATCGTTTCACAARCTGCACCTCTCTACCTATTTTATCTTTTTTCATTTCTATCGTAGTTTCTTTAAAATATCTGACACACACATATCGACTTATATATCTGTTAGAATACACTTATGTTATTGTCATTCTTTTACAAAATAAAAACAATTTATTAAATGTTATAAAATAGTAAAGACCAAAATTGAAAAATGATCGATGAATACAATGAGAATTTAAATTGTATAATAAAAAAGTAAAATCGTCAATGAAATCGTTAGTACGTGGCACGTATATTAGTGAGACATATGTTAAAAAAATGAATAAATATTTCAAATGAATATTTTTTTGAAATAATTTAAAAAAGAAAAAAAAAGAAAAAGAAAAAAAAAATATGTCTGAACAATTTTCTCACGTGTAAAAGGAGGAACGTAATAAAACGAATGTAAAAAAAGTCTGGAACGATTAGTCGGAATAAATGAAAGTGCAATAAAGGTGAAGGTAGTATATATCGGAATTACGATCACAGCTGGTGCGTGCCTGCAAGTATTCGAGATTGCACAGAATGTGCATCCTTCTTCCATTGAATTGTTGGAGAGACCCTTGGAGACTAGCTATAATATTGAAATATGTGAATGTGTAGGTGTGATATACATATGTAAAGGAAGAGGAAAAAAAAATACGAGGGATGGGAAGAGAAAAAAAAAAGTGAGAGAGAGAGAATGTGTACCAGAATCGCTAGCTAGACCGCAATTACTCGCCCCTAATTGCTTCTCTTCGTGAGCCCGTGGAATTATCGCTTTGATCGGAAGGAAAATATATTAGCGGAGACGTAGAAAGGGACGAATTAAATGGCATCTTCCATTGTAAAATAGTTCATCCACGTGGGAAATGTTTAATACCCAACGACAATCCTTCCCTTTTTTCCTAATTAAACACGTTTATATTTCTCTCATTCTATTCCTTGTCTTTTCCTATATCGTCATTTGAACTTAACTCAATTTTATGATACCTCCTCCTTTTTTTTCTCTTTATGTTACTTCAAAATTCTCAGAGTTATTTTTAAAGTGTCCCGTGTAGCACAATTAGTTGATTAAAAATGATAGAATAATTATAAATATTTGTATTATTCGGTAGGTTGATAATTAGAACGATTGTTATAATTATTAGCTCTATTATATATGTATGATGAAAATCGATAATAGACTTTCGCATAAGTTTGAAGCTTGAATTAGGTACGTCATCTATCTATACCTAGGAAATATTCGTGAGCTTCAGGCGTTATTGTGTTTCGCATCGTTGTAATTATAATGGGAGTAGATCCGATCCATAGCCAGATAGGCTTTGGAGCTGATGTTAAACTCATCGGAGGGTTCCTATGCGTTAGATCGAACGAACGAACCTTCAGCTAATATATTCGATTATCCAGTAAATGCTCTACGGTTTGTTGCCATTTTATTACAAGTTCAAAGTTTAAAGTCTCTATCTAATCTTCCATGAATTTTTCAAACTTTTCAATTCAATGTACTAACATGAAACAACGAAAAGTTAAACAATATTTGATATCAAACTTTTTTATTCATTGTTTTTAGGCAAGAAATCCAACGAAGATTGCTATCCTGATCGTGTTGGTTTGGGTTGTATCATTGGGAATTTCATTGGCACCACAATTTGGTTTAAAAGATCCAGATTATTTAAAACGCATAAACGATGGTGAATGTATCGTATCGCAAGATCCAACGTATCAGGTGAGTCTTGTATTACTCATAATATTATTAGTAAGTTATTTAAAGACTATATAAACAATTTATACTGTCCATTAATTTCGATTTAATGTTAAATTGAAATTATTTTAGAAACATCATCCAAAAGACATACATTTTTTTAATAAACTCGATAAATTTTTCCAATAGGATTATAACCGATAAATCGTTGTGTCTAGCTCGTTCGTTCATCGATTAAGGGAAAAAGTTCCGAGAAATGGCACGATTCGAAACTTAATGAGAAGAAGAAGAGGGAAAAAGAATGAACATCACGTAGGTGTTAGTTCTCGACCTAACTCCAATTTTTACGTTTGTATAAGTGAAAGAGGAAAAAAAAGGGGATGTGGGAGGGTGAGAAAGAGAGACAGCTTATATGAATTATCCGCAAAATTCGATAATGAGAATTATATCTCAACGAAATTCTCGACGGTATATTTCTAAAGGATATACATATACCGGGTGTCATGAAAATATCTGGGTCACATTACAAACTTCGAAACATAGGATATTCGTCTTGAGAATTTCTGCATTAAAATTAATTACTTCGACTATTCTATAATCTAATATTATTATTATTATTATTATTATTATTATTATTATATATTATTATTATTCGAACTTAAAATGTTTCATCAAAATAAATTTAATACGACTTCATATTTTTTTTTTTAACTGTAAATTATGCAACGGACAATATACGTGGTCTTTTTTTTCTAATTTAGTTTAACACAATAATTTGTGCTTGAAAATATTTCAATTAAAATTGTTCAATGATCGAACAAAATATTAAAGTGCATATGCACGCGACAACAAATTTATAACACAGTTTTGTTTTTTATGTTTTTTTATTTCTTTTTTTTTTTTATTTGGTACTTCATCGAAAATATGAAACGACAATGCAGGGGATAAAAAAAATTGGATACGTTTCACGAAATGGAAAAGTTCAATTCATCTATCACGCAATATCTCTTGCGATTATTATGCATTGGGATTTGTCCCCTTTATTATGGAGGATTAAGAATCCTCTCCTCCTCCTCCTCCTCCACCCTCATCCAAACGAAAAGAGATCAACTTTTTGCGCGTCCTACTTTTTCGGATTGATCTTGCTCAGCTCGAAATATTTGAACACGTTGGCCATTAACAAAAGTCGAACTTAAAATTTTTATACAGCAATGTGTGACCTTAAAGTTTCGCAATGAAGAAAATAGAAAAAGAAAATAAAAAAGAAAAAATAGGGGAAAAAAGTTATACATCTAACGGTATTTACTTGAATATTTCGTTACGCACTGTAAACATAGAAGAAATTTAACTCTGTAATGAAAATAAACAGGAATACTGATATATACAACCAGACTTTATATTTTAGAGGAGAGATATACTACGAAACGAAGTTGAGCCCGTTTGAAAACTCCCAGCTACTCGGGATCGACGAATGGTTTGCGTTGAATAAGCAAAGGATTGGACAGTTTACTAGGGTGTCGAGGGACGCGAAGAAAGGGACGAAAGAAGGGGAGAGGTAAAGGAGGGTTGGACAGGTTGGTAAAGTGGATAGAAGCTCTCCATATCTGGTAGTAGAGCAGACAAACGGCATTCGTTAGCGCCCATAACTTTCACGAACCACTGGAACTCCTATCTCTTGATGTTTCTCTATCTCTCTTTCTTCTCTTTTTCTATTTCTCGATGCAACGATAGAATTAAAAATCGTAAACAATAACATTCAAAATAAAGATAATGAAAAAATTATTTAAACGTTTACAAATTTGATTTATTATCCTATAACGTATTTAATATCGAAAACTGATGGATATGAACATTAAAGGATTTAAGTATTCGTACAGCTAGAGTATGAAAATACAAAACATTCTAACCTCATAGGAATACTTAACTCTATTACAATATACGTGTAGATCACTGAATTGCAATGGAAGTATAGTCACTGTACCATAGATACTTAATCCGATTGAAGAATACACACAAACACACGTATACATTTGTCTATATATATATATATTTCGATAGTACTGTGTATTCAAGGAGAAGCAGAGCTTTAAAGTTTCAAGCAATCCTTAAAGCTGAATTATTCATGCGAGTTAGCTATTAGAATCTATCCTCTCGTCCACAAAGTTGGGGGTGTCCCTTAAGTAGAAATCCAAGACTTTAACAGGAATTTTCTACCCCACAGTTGTTGAGTATATGAACTGGAAGAAAACCAAAAAAGAAAAAGAAAAAAAATGAAGAAAAAAAAGAAAAAGAAAAATCTCCTCAGAGAGAAAGATTGAGATAAAGATAAAGATAAGAGATAATAAAGAACATATAGAATGAGAGTGAAATATCCGGATTAGTTATTGTGTAAGTACTTTATATCTTTCTCTCTCTCTCTCTCTCTCTCTTTTTTGGTTGGCTCTATAAGTTTAACGAAGTAAGAGATAAAGTTCTTTGCATTAAAATCTATCCTTTAATAAGCTTATGAAGTGTTACGTAGGTTTGCTTCCTCTCACTCGTTTACAGCCTCTATAAAGCTTATCCCTTGCTCTAATTGAAAGGATATCGAGCTTGTTAACCAGGTTCTCTTCTATCACGAATCTATAACTTTTCTTCACCCTCTCCTTCCTTCCTTCCTTCCTCCTCTTTTTTCCCCTCTTTTCTTTATTTCTTTTTTTAACGTTTCGCGTATTCACTTTGACAGGAACGTGAGGGAGGAAAAAAAACGATATTCGTTGTCAGTTTTTCACGGTAAGGTTAAAGTTTAAATAACGTGATTCCTTAAAATTGTTCAACACTATGATAAAAAGAAAAATATATTTATGTATATTAAATTCTTAAATATATTTATTTATTTATTGAATTTTTTTGTATTTAATATAAGGATAAAAATGAAATAGAAAATATGTTGATGGAAGGATATGAGAAAAAAAGAGGAGGAGAAAGAGGAGAGATGAGAGGATTGAAGACTTTCGTTAGCGATACACCTAACTCGTTACGTGAAATTTTATTATTAACGCTTTAGCATACCGTAAATATTCATTGCTTTTTGGGGAAATATAATGAATATTGATATAAAGTCGCGGTGTGTCTGTTAACGCGGGGCCGCGTCTTTTCCCTGGTGGAAAAAGCGCGATGTACCGTAAAGTTTGAATGATTTGTGTGATATCACCGATCGAATCGTCTGCTATCACCAATGAAATATCGTCAAATTGGGTTAAACGATTTTTAACCCCCTCCTCTCCCTCCTCTCTCTCTCTCTCTCTCTCTCTCTTTCAGTCTATTTTTTATTTCTTTTTTTTTTGTTCTCCATTGGGAATTGACGCAGGAACGTATGAGATATTATTTTTCCAACAGCATGACACGATTGAATATTCCTTCACGTATTTTGCATTGCTAAAAATTGAAATATTTATGTCAAGTTAGCCGATTTTTCTTGATAATCATATAAACGTTTTAATATTATAAATAAAATAAAATAAAATATCCTTTCTTCAAAAAATATACTAAATACCTTAGTCCTAAATCTTCGAATTACGTACATTGATTACGTTTACAATTTACGATAGAGAGAGAGAGAGAGAGAGAGAGAGAGAGAGAGAGAGAAATAGAGAGAGAACAATGTTTGTTAGTTCACGCGTGTTAGATAGAACATTTGAGATGTAAACAGGAATGCTATGGGACTAGTGTCACTGTGTTGGTAAATAGTAAGGGGCACCTATCTAGAATGCAATTACATGCCACACGCGTTACTTGACAAAGGAAGGAAATGAAGGAAGAAAAGTATGTAACTATGAATTAAAAAAAAAAAAAAAGAGAGAAAAGATAAGAATTATATTCTTACAACTACTATTAATTTTTGTTATAAAATATTTGTAAATTTCTATGAGTAAAAATATATTTTAGAAATGAATTATTAAACTAATACAGATACGAATACACCTGTTGTAATTAATTGTATACGCTTGAAGATTTTAATAAAATGAAAATTGATGGTATACAAATTTCAAACATTATCGAACGTTTATGTATACATATGTAGCAATATTATGCTTTATCATCCTCTCTCTCTCTATCTCTCTCACTCTCTTTTACTTTTATCAAAAGTTTCGAAGAGAAGTAGGAGACGGGTCCCATTCTCGTGAACGTTCTACGTGCTACTAAACTCGATTTCGAATACATCAAACAAAAATCCAATTTAACTCTGCTCTCGGTTAAGCGGTTACTGTGAAGAGGATCAAGGAGTATCCAAGTGACAGACGAAAAGAGAAAAATAAAGAGAGAGAGAGAGAGAGAGAGAGGGAGAGAGATATACAGTTCGAGAAATAATCAAATCAGTTTCCACTAATATTCTATAGTTCGTATTATGACAAACTCAGTTACTAATCCATCTATCTTCTGACGATATCAACCCCAGATCATTTGATTTAAGAAATGAAAAGAAAAAAGATATCCAATTTTTCAGCTTCACGACGTTTTTATCAGAATCCAATTTTATTAACCACCAAATTTTTTAAAACGATCAATAAAATGTCCAAGTCCTCAAAAGTCGATTTAACGAACTGTAATAAAAATAATGTAATCCAAATTTGTTTGACAGATATTTACAATGGTAGAACGTATTTTATTAACACAAATAATTGGTGGTTCATAAAATAAAATGAAAAATTAAATATTATAATTTTATAAATAAACAAGGAAAGAAAAAAAAAAGGATAATGATAACTTTTTTTTTGTAATATTTTTCTTTGCAATAGAAAAATGTTTCTTAAAACGCGATTGAAGTTGGGTTTATCATCGTCGTCGTCGTCGTCGTCGTAGTCGTCGTCGTCTTTGTCGTCAAGATAGTTGAAATTTACATATAAATGATTTAATTAAAGGCACATCTTTCCTGCACCCCTTTGTTAAACCAAGATACCTATATACCTGTCACTCGATACCGATGAAAACCGATAGAACGGATTTCTCGAAGCGTTTTCGTTTTCCGACAAGTCCGAAAACGGTATTATTTTCTCGACATTCGCGCATCGATATTATCCAGACTGCTGCTCTACTTTTCTCAACAAGCTTTTCCTATTTCCTACATGTATGTATGTATGTATGTATGGGTTACCAACAGTGAGATAAAAAAATGTAGAAGAATCAATGAAAAGTACCAAACACTCAGCGTATCCTACTGTCAATGTATTTCTGTTTTCTTTTTTTTATTAATTTATTATTATATTTACTAAATGTATTTACCCTGGTTAAATACATTGCACATTATAGTGTACATAAATTATTATATTTGTAAGTTTTATAAATAATAATTTACCCTTAAATAACCAAATCTGTATTCATACGAACTTGCCACGTTTTCATACTTCCACACATTTTTCCAGTTTTTTTTTTCTCTTCTTATTATTATTTTTCATCCCCTATTTGGTACCTCTATTTTCTGCAGGCATGTAGCTACAAGAATATCGATAATGTTACTGCACACTCTCTCTCTCTCTCTCTCTCTCTCTCTCTTCTTTTTTCTTTCTTTCACTAACCACAAGTCAGCAATTTTTCAAAACATTTCGCGAATTATAGACGCTTAGATACTACCACCATAGACGAAGAACTTATGCAAATTTTTTTTTCCTACTTAACAAAAACATCAAAACAAAATAAAAGAATGTAGAATAAAGAAGGAAAAGAAAAAGAGAAAATGAAAGAAAACATAAGTAGCTTATTTCTCTTTTCTCATGAACACAGTTGATCGTTGCAACATCGTAATACTATTTTTTTTGTTTTGTTATTTTTTACCATTATCTACCCCATTCCATCCCATCTTTTTCCCGGTTGTAAAAAACTCTTGCGCTAACTGCAGTTAATATTCCGAAATGAATGAAAAGCTTGCTGCTAAACGATGAAAAAAAAAATAATAAGAAATAAAGAGGAGATGGTGAGGAAGGAAAAAAGAAAAAGAAAAAGAAAAAGAAAAAAAAAGAAAAGAAAAGAAGAAAAATAAAGAACGCATCCCATATCGAATTTTTCTTGTCCGTTGCACGTACTGACCACATAAATTGTGTATTTTTCAAACCAAAAGCCTGTGTTTTCTTGACCTTTTCTTTTTCTTTTTCTTCTCCTTCTTTTTCCTTATTTCTTTTCTAATAATTAATGGTCTATGAAAGTTAAACATACATACGGTTCATCTGCCTATAAATAATTTCATCCTATAGAAAGCTAAACGTTATGTCGATGTATGAAAAATTATTCAAGTTAAAGGTTAAAAATAAATTGATAACAAACGTAATGAAAAAAAAAAAAAAAAAAAAACTATTTCCGTCGTAAGGAAATGGTCATTAACTTAAAAAGTGTATAAGTAGGAAGGACAGAGTGCGAACAGAAATAGAGAAATTTAATGGGCGTGGTAAGTATCCTTTCTCGTGAGAGGATGCAACGATGAGATAGAAGAACCCTTGAAAAACACTCCCGGTCTTTTTTCATTTGCTCTTTCTCTCTTTCTATTCCATCACTGGAGAACACCAACTAAAAAGGTAGTCAAGGCAGGTATCTTTTATCGTTAGGAACAAYGATCGATCGATCCTCAGAGTCTAACACCGTTTTGCGGTAGGGCAGTTCTTTTCGGTGAATGAGAGTCGAACTAAACGATCAGATTACAATCGGATTGTGATCTTTAAAGCTAGATATTTCCCCTAGTTTGAACAAGAAAAACAGAGAAAGAGGGAACAAAATAAAGTATTAAAAAACGTAGAAAAAAGAAAATGTGCTTTTCAAACGGAATAATCTTACTTTTTCATAGGGTACTTAGTTATAATATTTACACTAACGATAAACTACATATATCGTTCTCCTTATCTGTGTAATTCGATGTAATTTAAATCGTATGTCAACACGATAGGATTTTTTACATATCTTTATTTTTTTTCTAGTATGAAATAACGTTTTAAAAAATTATTTTAACTTGTACGTAAATTATATTCATGAAATATAGTGTATTTGTATTTTGTATTTGTTTCAGATTATTGCAACATGCGCAACGTTTTATCTACCATGTCTGGTGATTTTGTACCTTTACTGGAGGATATTCCAAGCAGCTCGGAAACGTATCAGAAAGAGGCCAGGAACAATCGTTCAACCTCCTCGCGAAAGAAGAGGAATCCTACGTTACGTAACAAAAAGGTAATATCATCCTTTCCTTTCATTCTATCTTACACTTTAACCCTTAAACCATTTAGTTAAATTTATCCGATCGTACGATCCATTTGAGCCAACAGTTTACAAGTCAACCAACCAACCAACCAACCAACCAACCAACCAACCAACCAACCAACCTACCAACCAACCAGCCGTTCAGGAAAATCCAACGATTTCCGATTGTATTTTTCTAGTGAGAAAAAAAACATTCTCTGTCGAAAGATAAAAACGAACGTTTCGAATTGTTTTTATCGAAATCGAGATAACGCGATCGGTTGAATTTGTACGCGACATAGATCATCAACTACAGCAAAAAGTAGAATCAAATCGATCCATCTGTAAGATCGAAGTGTCATTTCGTATTGCAAATCGATCCTTCCGTAAAAAGTAGCGTTGGATCAAAATATCCCATCGAATTCGGTTTCTCTATTTAAAAACAAAAAGGACAAAAATGCAATCGTTTGCAACAAAAACTAAAAGAAATGATTGAACGATCTAGAAGTGCTTTCAATTTTGATAAAAGGTCATTTTGTTTTGTGCCACATTTTCTTTTCGATAAATAATAAAAAGTAAATATTAACCATTATTTCTTTATCGTTCGAATAATTTCTTTTTTACAAAATATCGACATTCATGAACATATTCCTTCTTTTTTAGTTTTTACTTGATGCTTTTCAGGAAATAGCTTAGAATTCAATCGACATGTTCCACTCAGCATCTAACTTTATACATTTTACTTTACTTTTCGATCAAATTTATTTACCTGTAGTTCCACGTAAGTATTATTATTACATTTGACTTGATTGAATGACTAAATTGATATATTTCGATTGGGCAGAATCTGAGTAGTTGCTTTACAGCAATATTTTATTTATTAATACAAATCTGTAAAAAACAATAATCTGTTCAAATAATAAATTCAGGGATTTTTGTATTTGTATTTTTATGCAACTTACAAATTCTGCAATCCGCAATAATTGACGAGACTCGAAGAATTATTAATCCTTACATCGCATAAAAAAAATAACATTTTTTTCAACGAGTATAAAGCTTTATTTTTTAAATTCTACAAAAAGCTATCTCCTGAATGAAACATACAATGTGAGAATAAAAATTGTTCTCATAAAAATCGGTCAAGAATTCCAACTACATTCACAGCTGGCATAAAACCGGGAGGATGACAAACAGCCTTAATTTAATTGTCCAATTGTCCTGACTCTTTGTTCCTAATATTTGCGCGTTAATCGTTCAAATTTAATTAATCTACGGAGCAAAATTATAGCTCGTTCATTTGCAAATCGTGTTAAACTTGATCAAAGCGTAACGTGAAACGGTTTCACAGCGATTTCATCATCTCCCTACTAAAGTGGAATATCTCGCTATCGAATAATTAGTCGAATTCTATAACATTTTAAATTGATAAGCAAAGAATTTGTAATATTTTTTAAATTAACTTTTCAAATGAAAAATTCAATTCAATTAAAACGACTCAACACAAATTTTTCTCCAATGCATTAACCAGGTAAAATATTTAAAAAATTAACTTAAAAAATGTTCAATTATGTATAGTGAATACAAAAAAGATGGTTTTTTTTATCTATAAAAAACTACTAAAATTACACGGTTAGATTAAAGTGATTAGGAAATTTAATTACAAGAAGTACCAAAAAATTTGTATGAAAAAAAAAACAAGGAATAGGGATAATAAAAAAAAAGTGAAGTGAACAAATGCGAACCTGCGTGCGCACTTTTTTACCTCATCGTTGAAAATCGAGAAGGATTCCTGTTGCGCTTTGAATCCTTTGAATCGACACAGTAGTTTCATCAATTTGAAAGAGCTAGTCTAGTTTAATTTGTTTCCACGAGTGACTCCCTGCTCCTTGTTATCCCCCTCTTTTCTCTCTCTCTCTCTCTCTCTCTCTCTCTCTTCAATTTTTTAATCGGAAAAAGTGAAAGAATGAAATGAATAGAGAGAGAGAAAGAAAAAAAAAGGAAAGCAATCGGAAGCTTTGAAAATTGACGAATACAAATATTCGTTATACGACGATAGACTTTCATAAATAAAATCTTTTTATTTTTAATGACTATATTAATATAATCATAAAAGTTAGACATATGGCAAATAAAATGAAGAAACTATAAATGACAAAAAAATATTAAGTTTTATCTTGTATTTGTGTTAATTGAAATAAACAGGCAAAGAGAGGAATCAACGGCGTTCACAATAACACGTTCAACACCGGATCATTCGTCGATTTCTCCGGAAAAGTCATCGTCGTATAACGATGGGAACGTGGTCCAATCGACAGGTGGAAACTTAACAAGCAATACTGCAGCCAATTCGTCGAATTCAACGACTCAAATGACAAGTGGAGCAGCAGCAGCTGTAGCATCGGCAGCTGCAACAGCAGCAGCAATAACAACAACAGCAACAGCAACAACGACGACAACGACGATGACAACAACGACGACGAGTGGTCCAAGTTCTTCGGCAACTTCAACTACGGTACGTCAAGCAACATCGACGAAAAGGAATCGCGAGACAATCGAATCGAAGCGTGAAAAAAAAGCAGCAAAAACATTGGCAATCATCACCGGTGCCTTCGTCCTCTGTTGGCTACCATTCTTCCTTTTAGCGCTTTTACGTGTGATTTGTTCCGAGTGCGAGATACCCGACATAGTCTACAGTGTCTTCCTTTGGCTTGGCTATTTCAACAGTACACTCAATCCTGTCATTTACACCGTATTTTCACCCGAATTCAGGCAAGGCTTCAAGAGAATGCTCTGTGGTAGCTCCAGGGTGACACGCTGACATTGGATTTAATTTCCTTTCCCGTTACCACCACTATATACTAAACCATTTACTACCATCACTACCCACCACGACACTACACCGATTATAATATCATTGGTACTACTCTCTTAAAGGAAGAACTTTTAATCTTTTCTTTCTTTCTTTCTTTCTCTCTTTCTCTCTTACTCTCTTACAAACACAAGTCTGAGAAGGAATAATAGAAAGTACGGAAACTCTTACCTCTCTTACTTTCATTTATCTTCAATCTTTCTTCCTTCCAACTTCAGTCTCCTTTAATCACAGTTAATTGATCATTGAAGATTAACAATTATCCAACATTTAATTTACCAAGAAATAATTGAGTTTATCATTTACAATTAGTAATCCATCTTTTATCACTTCTCCTCACACAGATTTATTCATAACAAGCGCACACAGAAGAGGTCTACAAAACACCAGGCATTAACTTTTTCTTCCTTGTAACCCTTCTGTTTTTCCACTTGAATAGCAATGTATTATATCTCGTGTATATAACGCATATATTCTAGAGTTAAAGGTCACACTTGGAACATGGCCAAAAACCATGAGTACATATATAAACACATACGCGTACACACACATAGATACATTTCTACAAAAACGTAGTAGCTAACATACTTGTATACACATTTAATTAAACGTACGGTAGAAGAATCGCGTGTTTAATCGTGATCAACGTTGACATCTTGTTTTATTCCTTTTTTTTGCTTTTTTTTTGTTTTGGTTGTGGCAAACGATTTACCCCCTTTTTAACAGTTCCAATTCTAGGCTGGACCGACAATCAGTGGTGCGATCTCTACTGATCTAAATCGTTTAACCGTAAGAATAATAAAAAAAAAAAAGAGAGAAAGAAAGATGACCAGCGTGAATTCTCTGTGTACATGCAAGAGAGAAAAAGAGATGGGAAGAAAAAGACGCATTGTTCCAATTACTCTCGTCTTTAAAACGCATTAAAAGGGCTTTAAAAGCATCACTTTAAAAGTACATACTGTTTAAGATTGCTATATCTGTACACACACACACACACTCATTCACTATTTATCTATCCTTTATTCCATCATGTAACATACGTCTCTATAGATTACATACACACACCCATACACTACCGATAAAAAGTTTGAGCACGCGTACTCTCGTATATGAAGTATATTGAAATTATTGCAAATTATGTTTTTGTAATTATTGATTTTTTTTGTTTATATATGAAAGTGGAAAGAAAAAAAATTGAATACTTTTTAACTCACGCACGTATACCATAGATCGGTCGAAATTATTTGACCACCATACAAAATGATAGAAATTTAGCTTATATAAATAATTATATCCTTTGCAAATCTTTTCAATTATCTCTTTTAGAAGATCTCACAAGTTTTCTCTCGACATTGAGCAGTGATTGTACATAAGTGTGTAAAGCAAATACAAGTAGGTGTACCCAAACTTTGAACAGGTAGTGTACAGGCAAGCACGTATGCACGTAAGCACCTACGCACGTACACGCATATACAAGTATTGTATTATAGAATTAAGAGAGGAAATTGAGGAAGTATGAGAAACTAATGAATTCTAAGAGTGAATAGAAAGTGAGAAAGAGAGAGATCGAAGTGTCAACTTCGAATTTGCTTTCGAATATATCGCGTCCGATCGTGAAAGAGATAGACGACGAAGGCTTGAAATGAGAGAAAGAGAGGAAGGTAAGAAGACCAACTTTGAACTCACTGTATTTGTAATAAATTTACGAGGAAGAACTCCTATAGAGTTCAAGGGTTCTCCGTTCGTTCCAAACACACCCTTTCTCCTCATCTTCTTCCTTCTTCTCCTTCTCCTCCTCCTGCTTCCCCTTTTCCTCGTCTTCATTCTCCTTCCCACTCCAAAACTTAGTTTGATTCTTCTCGTTAGAAAGTCGAGAGTGTGTGTCTCGAAAAGTTAATTTTCCTAACGGAAACTGGCAGGGAGTTAAATTTGTAAATTAAACGAATCTCTCATTCTATTCGAGATGACGATTAAATTATTGACTTCCTTGTTTTTGTTTGTACATTTTTTCAATCTTTTAAATAGCGTTAATTGGACAAGAGAAAAGAGATTTTTTTCATATTTATTATTTTTTTTTTTTTTATATCATATTGATATGGCTCATCATATTCATATTTTATTTAATTAAACAATGGTTCTTTTTATTTGTTCTCATTATATTTTGACTAGCAGTATTTTTAAAGAAAAATAAGAATTTAAGAAGGAAATAAATTAAAATCTTGTATACGTGTGTCTTGTTTGAAAATAAAATTTACAAAATGAAAAAGGATGTATATTTAAGATAATGAGACTCATTTTATGAAAAATGAGAAAATAATTAAGAAAAGATAATAGGAAAAAATAAAAGTCGTTAGAATTTGATAACGAGGAGGATATTTTTCTTCTAAAGCTCGAGGTTACCTAAAGATAATTACTTCTTCGTATCATTAAATGTCTTTTCTTATTTTTCTTTCCTTATTTTTGCTGCTTCTCTTGCCGATTGTTTTATATATATATATATATACTTTCTTTGAATTTTTGTTTTATTTTAATCTCCGAGATAGAATTCGCGGTATACTTGGAAACGAAGCCCGTTTTTTCCTATTCACTATAGTTAGCTAGCGTGTTAATATTTATCTCTTTCTCAGTTTGGGCTCTCGTTTATCTTTGAGTTTTCGTAGTAGTTGAAATAACACGAACGGCAATGTAGTGCAACGTGAAAATGGCATCGAATGTTATAGGTCTCGGATATTGAAATTTTTCTTTTTGATGACACAGAAAATAGACCCGGTGAAAATTGATCTAACTCGTAAATATAATTGAATCTTTAAACGTCGCATTTTGTATTTATGCTTCTAGTGATACATTGCCTATACATACTATCGGAAATTTATTTATTGTTTTTCCTATAATGTTATCACAACGAATATGGAACGGACAATTTGAAGAGTTAGGAAGAAAATGGGAAAGTTTTTGAATAGAAATAAGAAACATTGCCAGAAGCGTGGTATATTTTGTAAAATTGAAGACAAAAGTAAATTGTTTCTTGGAAAGCAGATATCTCTTGCAAACTTTGAATTGGATATAGGAATGAAATCAAATCATAGACAAACGTGAAGTCGAATAAACAGGAAAATCTTGTTAATGTTTATCACATTGCAGCATTTAGGGTTACCAGAAAATTTCTGCTGGATGGAATTAGTTCTGGATTAAAATATAAAACTAAAAATTACTGCATAACAAAATAAAAATGTATTATGCTTATCGTCGTGTTCCTTTTAGTGAAAAATTAAGAAGAAGGTGAAAATGTTTATAAAAAAAAAAAAAAAGCTCTAACAAATGAGTGCGTGTACGTGTACGTATGTGTATATTCGCAAAAAAAAAAATTTTAAAGGAAAGAGCGTCGCGTAGATCGAATTGTTATAATGTTAAATCGTTATACGTGTCGTTCTTTTTGATTTTGTTAACTGAAAAGTTATTAAAAATACAAATGTAAAAAAATAAGTAAATGGCTAAGAGTGCTGTTCGTTGTACTTTAAAAATTACCAGCATCTACGTCAAAACCTTTTTAGGTACAACCTTCGGAAATGTCTTGTTCTTGCTAATAAAAAAGTTAATAATTAAATTAATATATTATTAAAACTTTAAAATCCATCAACTGTTACTTATAAAATTAAAGTATTTTCATTCAGTTAAGATAAATAAATTTTGATATAAATAACATTTTTAAATATAATTTTCTAAAGTGTTTTAATTAAGGATTGTTATAAGTGAAGAAGAAATTTTGCAAAATAAAAGAAAATAAAAGAAATTAGTAGAGAACGAAGACATTTCGTGATAAGGATTGCATAAGACACTTCCCCATCAGTTGTGCCTAACAAGGAAATTTAAATCAGCAAAGGTCTGATAATCCTGTTCTATCGCACGTTCTTAGAAAGAAAGAGAGAGAGAGACAAGGATCGATCGATCGTAAGTCCTAGCGAAAACCACAGATCTTCCCGTATTAATAATCACGTTAGTTTCGTCTTCCACGATAACTTATCCATCATTCTTGAGATTCGAGCATCGAAACAAAAATGTTTACTCATCAAAATGTTCACGTTCCAATTATAATAACGTTCTTAATCTTTCTCTCTTTCTCTTTTTCTTTTTATGTTCTTTTATTCTTCTTCTTCTTCTTCTTCTTCTTCGACAGTTAATAAGAAATAGAAAAATAAAGAAAAGGTAATAAAAAAAAATAGACAGATAGAGAGAGAGAGAGAGAAAGAGATGAAATCAAAAAATTCGATGTATCCCGATTAGCCAACGATTTACATCGCAATGCTCCGCTATTTATCGACGTTAATTGCCTAAGATTGTAAAATTGAAAAAAGCGCGAATAACAAATATTGCGAGGAAAAGAAAATAAGAGAGAAAGAGAGAGAGAGAGAGAGAGTAATCTTTAAATATAAAAAATAAAAAAATACTTAGAAAAATGAAGTAGTTATTATAAAATAAAAAAAATAAAAAAATGCATACAAAAAAAAAATTAACAAAGCGATATTAGTAGTTGAAAGTTCAGCCGATACGTGCGTGCATCCGTGTATAAAAAAAAAAGAACAAAAATTTGAGTGTGAAAGTATGCGTGAAAGAGAACGTAAGCATGTACGTACGTGTAATACATATGAGCGTGGGAGAAAGAAAGAAATACATGCGTTTGAATTTAATCGCGTTTCGCAAAGGACCATTGAGAAGAGCCCCGTGATTCTCGCTCAACAGAAAGGGAAAACATTTTCTGGGTGGATCGAAAATAAAATAAAATAAAATAAAATAAAATAAAATAAAATAAAATAATGAATAAAGAGTCAAAGGTAAAAATAAAAAGAAAAGTCCGAAATAGCGCAGCGTGTATTAAAACATTTCAAAGCGGCCGCTTGCTTTATATTTATTCCCTCTTCGATTAAGAATCGTAAAACGACGATTACGATTATTTCAATGACGAGATGATAAAGTAATTACGTTTGAATAAATCGAATTACGAATGGTTTTTTCGAAAGAATCAAGAATTTGCCTTTTCAAAATTCCCTTATCGTCTCCTATTTTCCTTGTTTAAAAAAAAAAAAAAATGAAATAGATATTTGTAGTAATCTTTCAAGAATGAACTTTAAATAATCCCATAGACTTTTTATCTGACTTCTCATCATCATAGTCAAACCTAGACGTATGTATGTACATACATAATATACAGATAAAATATATATACATACTAGCATCAAGATTGGTAAGTACATATATATATATATTTACGTCTTATCCTTTAACTCGATAAAATCTTCTTATCCTACACTGGCTTTATCCTCCACCCCTTCTTTTCTCCATTTTGAAGTTCTTTTTTCACGTTTTGATTTCACGCAAGGAATACTTGAATGATGAGAATGTTCAAAGTATTGGATATATTTCCAGATGGAAATTGGTAAAGTAATGTAAAATAAGATAACGTAAAAGATATCGAAAGTGTCATATACAGGATATGAAATAAGAAAAAGGTCATGCATTGAGAAATAATCTGTGAGAAAAAAGAAAAGCAGGGGTGGGAGGAGGATACCTGTCGTATCCTCGATGCTAATACGATATCCTTGTATATATTTTCGAGATATCCTGACACAACTAAGGTATACAATCTTTTTCTCTTTCATATTCTTACATATTCTACTTTTTTTTTTCTTTTTATGTTTCTTCCATACGAATGATCCAAGAAAACAGCACGTCGAGCATTCGAATCCACCTCCTCCTCATCGCTCGTTTCAAATTCGACCAACCGTGCACAGGTACAATATTTTTCTTCATTTTTCTC